TCGCACTTCAATTAATTTTGACCGTGTGGTTTCGAAATGCGAGCCGCACAAGAACACAACATTTAAAAGAAAGAAAATAGGCCACCAGTGTCACGGATGCTCATACATATGACAAAATGTTAATGTAGGAAACCGAGACAACATAATATGACATAATTTATTTTTACGTTTTTAAAAGCAGTTTTAAGTAACCATCTACATGTCTACTCATATTCTATTTAATAAAATATCCGACCTGGCTTTGCAGGTCATTTGTTGTGATTATCTTTTCTACTTAAATAGCCCTTAAATAGAGCCTCCCAGCAGTTGTCAGTTAAAAGTTAACAAAAATTATAAATATCTCTGAATGTTCTGCTGAAAATGATCTTTATCATAATTTTTTGTTTTTATTTACGCTGCTTTTATGTAAGCAATAGCCGTCACTAAGCTCTTGGCAATAAAATGCTATGAAGCTAAGCTTACAAAGATTCTTTTAGGTCGTTTTTCCAGCGAACCAGAGACGCGTAAACGCGGCGAAACCCGATTAATGTTACTTAAAGTGTGATCCGTGAGGTGCCTCCTTCAGATACAGTACACATTTTGTTACTTAGACGCTTATGTTTCAAACGAAAGAGTGACGACAACCAAATTTATTTTCACGCCAAGCTAAGTCTTGTTTGCTTTCAAAAAAGAAAGAACTTTAAGCGCGTCTATGAACTTTGAAAAAAATATATGTTTTATAAATTGCAATTTATTTAAAATAATACACTTTAATTAAAATTCTTCAACATTGTTAGTCTCTAGAAGAAATTCTACCTATAGTTTCTGCCGCGCTGATGTCTTATCTTCCATAGTTTTATGCCATAATTTTTTTACAAGTGTCTTTTTATGTTTAAGTTAATTAAAATCTGAATATTTGTTGTCACTCCAAGGAGTCGAACTCTCAACTCGGGAAAGAGTTCAACTCCCCAATCACTAAGCCATGTAACCGTCAACACAGCTTAACCATTAACAGACTATTAGCTACCTTATTTTCTACAAATAACTCTTAGTTACGTGACTATTGATAAAAATCTTATTTGCTCGACTGCACACAGGAATCCTTAGAAAATAAACTAATCGAACACTTCTTGCACTTGCACTAAGTTCATTGCTAATCCGTTTAGCAAGAATATGTGTTAAGCTGCTCTGTGCGGTAATACTTCTTATATAAGAATTCAAACACTCTATGCTTCTGTTTATTAACTGATTTTATAGGTTTCATAATTTTAAAGGCCTAAAATCGTAACTTTGTGTCTGAAGTGCGATAACTACGAGTACATTAGATTACGCACCTGTCAGGTAAATAATAATATGACAATGATTAATATCTAAATCTAAATATATATAACTCAAAGGTGACTGACTGACATAGTGATTTATCAACGCACAGCCCAAACCACTGGACGGATCGGGATGAAAGGCATGTAGGTAGATGTTATGACGTAGGCATCCGCTAAGAAAGGATTTTACGAAACTCCACCCTTAAGGCCTCAGCCTCGAACTTAGCGGGCAGCGGGGCGGGAGCGGCGGCGGCGCGGGAGCGGGGCGGGCAACGCAGACCCGTTCTCGAAACAAGCGGGCAGCTCGCGCGGCGCTTTAACGGCGAAGTGTTGTGTTCGGGGTTGTGTTGTCGAGATATTTGTTTTTATTCGCAAACGAAATGTCTGAACAACGGCGACAATTTTATTTCGATTCAAATTTATTCCTAACGCTCGATTTATTGTGGGCAAAAGAAGGAGTGCGCTGCCCGCTCGTTGCCCGCTCCCTCGCCGCTGCCCGCTCGTTGCCCGCTGCCGCCCCGCTGCCGCCCCGCTGCCGCGCCGCTGTTTTCGAGAACCGGTCTATTTGATTTTACGCATAAGATCCTGCCGCTCCCGCGCCGCCGCCGCCGCCGCCCCGCTGCCCGCTAAGTTCGAGGCTGAGGCCTTAGGGTGTAAAACGGGATCCACGCGTACGAAGTCGCCGGCAGCCGCTAGTTGATTATATGTTAAAAGGTACAAAGTTATCTGTTTAATTTTAAATATCAAAAAGTTAATAAGAATTTTACTATTTTTGTAAACAGTTTGCCGCCTGCATAGATAACGCAATTAACAGGAGATTTTATCGAGGTAAAAGTAAACATGGGATACAAGCAATTTAAAGTAAAAATAGTTAATTGGTGCATAATGTATACATACAAGGACTGCATTAAACACTGAACAGCTATTGTCGCCATTAGTTCATAAACCCAAAAGGGTTGAACTTAGCCCATAAATAGGTATTTTCTCTTCACTGTCTATATTTGAAGTGTCTTTTAACGTATAGGATTCAATACTGGCCCTGGGTTACACGATCTTATATTGACTTTAACAAATATCTAACTCCATACAAAAACACTAGTTATCGTTATAGTTACGATTAAAGTTAGTGATGCAACTCAGCCTTATGACTTCGAGTTATTTTTAGTTACACATATTTTTATCCGTAATAATTCACATTTTAATGTTAATTAATCAACTATTTAAATGTAATATGAACTCTAAGTTTATTCATAGAATATCATCATTATCATCATCACCATCATCAAAATCTTCAGAAGGTATGAATTACTTATGGCCAATCAGATTACTTATTTTTAGAACGCTGCACTAAGCGTAAATGTAGAGCACAAATTATTGGTTTTAGACGAAAGTTCTCTACAGTTTTCATGAGATAATGCTCATTTGTAATTTCTATCTATAATATAAAAATGAATCGCAAAATGTGTTGGTAAGCGCATAACTCAACAACGCCTGGACCAATTTTACCAATTCTTTTTTTTTAATGTTTGTTGAAGTCCAAGGATGGTTTTTACAGCGAGAAAAGTTTGAATAATTTCCGGGTAAACCCTAAAAAACTCGAAACTTCACCCCTAAGGGTAAAACGGGATCCACGCGTACGAAGTCGCGGGCGGCCGCTAGTTACTAATAAAGAGTTTACAATTTTTATTTCTTTGTAAAAGTATTCAGTGGCAGTAGTTAATTCTTGGACCTGCTCAGAACTCAGTGTTAGTCCTATTTTAGTGGTTAACTTGATGAATAAAATAAAAGTAAAAACACATTACTAAGTGTTCATGTTATACAAGTAGGTACAAGATTAATTAAATCGTTTTAATTAGCCAAATAATTTAGTCAAATGTCAGTTCATAAATTGTAGCCCTAGGTTACAGTTTGCCACGAAGGCACTGCCTATTGCCTATAATGAATTGCCATTAAGTGTCACTTATTTTTGTCCCACTATAACAGAATTAGGTCAAATTACCACTGAGCCTTTCAACTCCATAATGAAGTTTATTTTAAAATCTGCCGAGTGAAAGATACTTCTTACGGGTTTAAAATATATGTCATTCGAAGTGTTAATGAAGGCGTTTCGGTCTTCTCTCATTATGCCCCCGCACTTAGAAAGACTGCGGGTGACCGTCCAACTAATCTAGTCAAGTGTCGTTTGAAACTTCTCAGCGCCCAGCGGTATGGTGATGTCACGGATTCTTTTCCGTATTGTGTCCCACTGTTCAGCTTATTTCGGTTTCTTGTCCCAACAATAAAATATTTTCGATGTCAAAGCAAATGTCATATCTGACAAATAAACTGTCGTGCAAATGTAAATATTCGATATATCCCAGTCAGATGAATATCATTATTAGTAATAATAATACAGTAATAAAATTTACCCATCGCTATTATAATAAATTAATTATTTTTTAAATGTTCACTTATTTTCTAACTTCTACAGTCTTATTTCTAAAGGCTGGGTTTCACCGCCAAGCTTTGACCTTGACTATGGCGATGACCGTGTTTTTGTATGGAGTTTGAGAGATTTTTGGCGTCTGTCAGGGTTTGGGGTGAGATGGTGTAACCCGGCTCAAGTTGTCATACAGAAGAGCAGTCTCATTCTAACACAAGTTTTACAAACTTAAAAGGATGAGACTCACAATATCATTGTTAAGACTTTTATCGATAAATAAATAATTTTGATTTTTTTTAATTTTAATTATGATATGTCATTTTTAATGTAACTCCCTACATATAATTATAATGTTTTGTTTGAAAACTAGCATATTTTTATTTTCAGATTAGTGCTCGAATCTATTACATCTACATTGTCAATGTTGTCATTCTCGCACGTTATTTTATAACACGTCAATTTCATTGTAGATAATTGTCCATTTACATGTGATTCAGTGGTAAAACCAGTCGTAAACTAAGATTTATCATTATTACTGTCAGAGTGTAGGTTACATTAAACCGCTTTTGCTGTTATGAATGTAAAGCTGCAAGTAACTTTCAAAGTAATACTGAAAGATTGTAATCGCACATTAAGAAACGTGTCCCGATACTAAGTCATATTGGCTCCAACAACACTAGGTCAGACACCGTGTAAAGCGTCCGAGAACTTTGTCAAACCTGTGACGTACGCCCCTGGAATCCGTATGCTTGAGACTACTTACATAGATTACAGTTTGAACTAGATCTCTACTTTTCGCACAACACGTGACTTATCCTTTCAAGCCGGTTAGTATAATGGGTGCTTAATATGGAATATAAGATCACTTCGCTAAATAAAGTAAAAATATCACGAGGTTATCATTTGTTATAGGTTCGGTTCAATCATTGTGACTAGAACGAAGTTTATAATTGTTGAAAATTGTATGCTTTAAAGTAAATTCTAATGTCTGTCGAGGAGTGTTACTTTATACGAAGAATCGCCAATAACTGCAGTCTGCAGTAGGTGTCAAATTATATCAGAACGTGCCGTCTTCATGCGACTTCAAACGGCATTGTAAACGATGAAAACAGGCAAACCGTGAAGTAGAGTCTTTCAAAGTTGAGTTGAGCGGGAGTCGTAGTCGGAAAACTTGTTTATTGTTCTTATATCATAATAAATATCGGTGAGCTTTGAGATTCAACAAGTGCATGCAGGGCCTCCGGCTGCCGCTGCACCGCGGCGGTCGCCAGTCTCAGCCAGGACGTGCGGTCGCTCGCACGCTCCCGCCCGCGCTAACCATTCCGTAAGTGACAACTCACACTGCTCACCGGTAATAAGTGCCGATCCTGCCCCAACTTTTTCCCACTTCTACTCGACTTAAATTAGTTTTAAACTTAAAATTGGCAACATTCGTATCGGTCTGCGGATTCGAAACTATGGGCCACAGGATTTACTTAGGAAAGTTTACCTGAAAGTTTTGAAATGCAACATTTTTCGACATTGTAATTAATGTTTCGCGCGATGGTTTTGCACGTTTTAAATGAGTCTTATCGTTATCAACGCAAACACTAGAAAGATGAATTGATAGCGTTTATACGGAAGAAAACAGATTTTCGTAGTAGTTTTCATAGTGTTAAACTTTTATTCACAAGCGTCTCGATGGAAGGTCGAACATTTTTCCGTTATTGTCCTGAAAATTACGTTACTAGTTTTGTAATATGGTAAGTGGATACTATTCTGGATGCTGGATAGGGTTATATGAAAGTTTTTTATTTCTTACTTCATGAAGTTTGAAGATATTGGTTCATTTAGAATTTAAATTCGATTCGAAATGTATGCTTGTACATGTCATATTGTTTAGAACTTTTTTTGATTTGAATTGAATTCTAGAATGCGAATTGAAGACCGCTTTAAATAGTTGAGTAAGTCTGATTTCATATTTAATATTGTTTGGACGCAATAGCATTAAATTTAAGGAAGTTTTTGCCTTGACAAGTTAACATCCAACTATTACGAACTGTGGTGATAAAACCGCGCGCTGCAGTTACGGTTTGCGTGATCATATTCAAAACACACATATATCATCTTTACTTCTTTCCCCATATCAAATGACAAGGAGACATGTATCATTTAAATTGTCTGACAGTTTCAGTTCATAATTATTATTGCAAATAAATGATAAGTTACTTTGCTTGGCAACAAGGAAGTGTCCTGAGTAGAGTTAAATTTCAAGTGGAATTCTGATATTTTAACAGAAGCATAAATAACTTTTATTTTGAAATTTATTTGTGTGTGATATAAGTAATTCAACTACTGAATTATAAACCATATGCTACCAGATGTGCGATTTAAAATTTAATACTATTTTGGTCAATAAGATAAATCAATGGATTGTGAATATGACGACGTATAATTAAAAATCAAATTAGCACAAAAATCTGTCATAATTGCAATAAAATAATTAAAACATAATTGCATTGCACGCGGTTGAATTTTGCGAAAGCTTAAGCCGCATATCTCTTCTTTCTTTAAATAAAAATATATCTATTCTAACGATATTCTGATAAACCCTTGTTCAGATGGGATGGGAGCTTTACAAGGAGTGCTTGTGACTGGCTTAATTTGTTGCACGTTCCGCGATTACGTCGGCCTGGACCAATTTATAGGGAGCTTGGTACTCCAATCAAGCTTTAGGGACATAGCAAACATGCTAGTTTATAGATGCAGCGATAAACTGAAGTGTCACACGCCTAAAAAACCTATAGCAGTTAGTCGATTTGCGAAAGATGCATTCGCAAAATTTGACGCAGCAGCCCTTGATGGAATCGCCATAACGAATGACTCCGACAAAACGGTCACACGAGGAAATTGAAAAGACTAGTAAAGTAGGATGTCTGCTAAGGTCCTTAGATTGGTCATAGGGTTGCCAGATGGTCATGATTTGGCGGAATTCTTCTGAATTCTTGTGTGTCCTTCCGATTCCCGACAACTTAGAAAATCTCCCGAACGAACTTAATTTTAGTGATTACACCCTCTCTACCAACCAAAGTGCCAAAATCTCGACAAACTGTTCTTTACTCCTGAAGTCCTGACAATAGGGTCATCTGGCAACCCTACCCGGGCACAATCGGGGATGTGTGCGGTGAGCAAACGGAGAGCTCAATTCGAGCGGCTAGTGTGGCTGCGCGCACGCCGATCTGTAACGGTACCGTAGGTTCGGGTTAACAACCCTCTTCAACATTATGTACCTTAACGTCAAATTTGATTTTCGAAACGATAGACGGTTTTTGGAAAAGCGTGAGTGTTATGGACTGGAATAGTTTTGCATCGATTTTGATGCCTCCTGATGCAGTGACAGTAAAATTGGCATAATTTATGATAGTTTCATATCCTACAGGATAATCTCAGTCATGACATAAAATATGATCCATTACCTATAATAATTGAGCCTTAAATCAGCGTGTGACATAAATGTGTCAGTGAAAATTAAGTCGCATGTCATACCAATTTTATCTGAATGGACAGCCATATTTAGAAGCATTGCGTTACATTATAGTTAACAAAGAGCGTAATCCACTGACACGAGTACTATCGTATACGAACTTTTTAATCTTTAGATGATTGCCATAGATAATAAATCATAAATCAGTGTCATGTGGGCGACATGCGCCTGACCTCACTGTAAGAGCGGTCCACACATCCGAATATATTTTTAAGCCTTTACAACAAACAGTTTTCTGAATAATATTATGATATAACCTAAGCATTTTAAAACCACATTATTATCTCTCTTATGTAATCAGGTTCTACAGAAATTATACCGCTCTTGATGCGCTAAATACATTTTTATCAAATCAATAATAAAAAGTGCTATTTTGCAAAAAATATTAACTAATTTTACAATTTGGCATCAAACAAATTAAGACGGACAGACACATTCAAGTTCTGTAACATAATATGACGATTATTAGAATAGTTAATAATAACGGGCGTAAAGATTAGCAATATTTTAAAATGCAAATTAATTGACGATTTGTAATAATTTACTTCTTAATCGAAAACAGCTTTGATAGCATTAAAAACGTGTTTAAATTTCAAAATAGCATACCATAGTCGTACAATATACAATATTTATTAAACTTGCTTAGGTACTTTTCTTAGGGCTGATTTTTCAATCGTCAGATAACTTTTAACTAAATAAAATAACCTTGTCATTTTGACATATTTCCCATACTAAAACTGTCAATGTGCCAATCTTATTCTTCAGTTAAAAGTTATCCATCGATTGAAAAATCAGCCCTTAGTAAAATTTCCGATCAAAAAATACACCTAATAATAACTATTAGACTGTCTAATCTGTCTCTCACATCTCTTTGACAAGTATTTTTCTCCCTTAATACATATAAACATCGCATAATTTTTCTCAACATTATCTAACTCAAGTAAGTTCTTTGCTTGCTTTCGTTTCAATAACAAAACAACAAAAACTAACTATCCTTTTGAAGTCACAACTCTGTTATAAGTGTGCGAAAACATCAAACAAATACCTGCTTGTTGTTTTACCAGGTGGCTGCAAATTGCTGAAAATAAATTCATTAGATAATTTTTCTTAACCACTAGAACTTGGAACGTATTAATGTAAATATACAATTAGATCAGTTTTCAGACGATGTTGTCAATGTATCAATAAATATGTATAATAATCTAAACCAGATATTAAATGTATTCAAGCCTGGTTGACTCTCAGCAGCTTTTATGCTATGCCTCCTATTTTTATCACGGTTCTGATTAAAAATCCATACTCGAGTTTTAATATAATACGAATACTGAAAAATGGACGCCGCGGCGCCGTCTGATAATAAATATCCTTGGACATTTTTACACTGCACTTCTAGTCCCAAACTAAGCAAAGCTTGTACTATGGGTACTAGACAACGGATATAAACAAACATACTTAAATACTTTTTTTTGTAAATACATACATATTATATGTACATAGTAAACACCCAGTCCAATACAAACAAATATGTTCATGCACACAAATGTTTGTACTGTACGGGAATCGAACCCGCAACCTCCGGAATAGTAGTCCGTTTCGAACCACTACACCAAACGGCCGACTATGATGAAATAATACTATTTATAACGCGAAGTAAGTAGTTTCTTTCATAATAACATTGTGTTTAGTGGGAAACACGAGTGTGGTTTAAGCATGTATCCACTTTTCTCATCTAACTCCGACAAAGACAGTTTACTTAACACAAAACGTCGTCTCGGCAAAGCCACTAACTGTTATTTTGTTGTCGCCCACATTTAAATATGCTTTGATGTGTGAACGAGCTGTTTGTAATAGATGCCTTAGCAATACGATATACGGTGTAAACCTTGCCAGGGAGAATTGATAATAGCATTTCTTGGGCGTGTTCTGTTTCTATTAATTCGTGGTTAGATTAATACGGTTGTTGTTCTTTATTTTGTATGAAATGGCATTAAAATGAGGATCATTATCTGGGACTGGGTCCCTTGGAAATAGGAACTAGTTTGATGCATTTGATTTTAAAAACGTCGCTGCTGCAAGGTTTGCTACATTTTGCCACAACAATAATTTCATTAAGAAGTAGCTTGACTATTTATATCATACAATATAGTTTTATGGGGGTGATGGTCAAACTAAAGTTATGATATATCAAATACGTAATTTAACATGAACCTAAATATTCTTCGTGTCACCTATTGACCGTGTGACAAGCAAATTCACCAGCAAATAAAAATGTCACTTAGCTATTCCACTGGAATCTTATACTATATTAAACAATAGTAGTAATTATTGATATATCCATTTTGTTTTCAAGTTCCCTGTGACATATATCGTTATCGGTTGATAAGGTGGCCCTACGGCCCTTACAGTTTGATAAATAAGTTAACGGGTCACGATGTATTGTATAAATAACGTTATCAACTCATTGACATGGTAAACTATGCCTCTTAAGGTATAATACTAGGTTCTGTTGGGACCGCGAAATATTAGTACCTAACTGGCAATAATAAATAATTTTGAAGGGTAATTTGTTATAAGCCAGCTACACAGTCACGATTTCAAACCCACAATAAACTATAGTTTACAATAGAACGGAAAATGTATAACCCTAAGCCATACCAATTAGGAACGGGCTTAACCGTCCAAAAGACCAGTGTCTCTAGGTTTTGAAATGTTTATTAAATAATATCAAAATTACTGTAGTACTATACATCTCTGGAAGTATATTGCCTGTCGAATCAAATTCTGCCATGTATTTTAATTTC